GAACGAGATAATCTTGGCATCCCTTTCCAACCCAAACCATTCCAGCATTCTGTGTCTGTAAGAGCAGCCCCAGCAAATTCATCTCCCATATGTGCCCAAATCCTTCAGGGAAAGCAAAGCACAAGGATAATCATATGCTGCCCTGAAGGAGGAGTCATTTTGTGTTTCCTAAAGGACTTTCTGGAATATTGGGGTGACACTGGAGAATGAGTCAAAAAAAATCTGTGTTTTGAAGACTGTGAGGGATTTACAGAATACTGAGCCTTGGTGGCAAGAGGAGGATGATCCCTCTGTACAGCAAGCCAGTCCAGCTGGCACCGGTGCTGGGAGAAAATGTGGGATGCTGTGGAATAAAACATGGCTGGGGGCTTGCAAGATGTTTCTGCATTAAGAGGAGGACTGCTTAATGGCAGAATTAAGTGCTGGTATTCAAAGTTTGGCTGTAAATTGGTTAAAGAAACAGATCTGCTCTGTTGGGCGGTCTGTGATCGTGAAATCACGATCAACAAAAAAGTGGTGGTGGAATCAACCTGTCGGGAAGAACTGATGCACCTCACACCGAGGCTGAGCATTCCCAAGCTCCTTCTTGCACCACAAGAATTGATTAGCAGGGAAGAGATCATTGCCAATCCTCTAAATCTCAGATTAGACTGTTCAATCCAGCTAAATTATGTCTATATTACCCTCTTTAGGCACTTTGGACAAAGTCATGGCTCTGGGATAGATCCTGACATTGATTTTCAGGTGTTTTAAAGCATCCACCTGTTACAACTCCTGGTTAGCCCTGGCTGTGCAAGATTTGCCTGATGCATTGGAGATGTCTGTGTACAGATTTCAGATTTATTCCTACATGGGCAGCAAGCCTCACATGAAGCAAATCCCTCTGTTGAAAAGACGAGTCTTGAGTAGTGTCCTGAGCTTTGTCTTGAGGAGGCTTCATGCTCCATCCCCCCTGGTCTGGCAGCAGTTTTTGTGTGCTGGGTTCAGCACTCAGGCCCTGGCACAGTGGTGAAAGGTGGGGAAGGACCATTTCTGCCTCACATGGTGGCATCTTACCCCTAAATTTGTCCCTGGGGTGATCAGGCTAAGGGGGTGAAAAGGGCAGCAGAGCATACAGGGCAGTTTGGGGGTCTCCAAGCCATATCAAAATACGGTTTTGTCAAAAATAGGGAAATGTTTCCCTGCAACTTGATTTTTCTCTTCTGGTTAACTGAGCCAAAATGACATTGAAGTGGGAAGTGGAAGTCTTTTCACCAAGTTATTTAATTCACCAGAAGGGACACTTAACCATACAGCAGCTCCTTATTTACATTGAACTGCTCTTTATGCATCCTGTAAACATCAGAAGCAATTTCTAATAAATTACAATCCAGGGAGCAGCAAATCAACAATATCACTGAGTTGTTTAAACGAATTCATTACAAAATATATTGCCTTTTTCCCTGTGACTTCATTCAGACTGCACTTGAAAACATTATTCTCCTGAATTTTCTGTTCAGGATATACGTGTGCAAAAATATCTCCAAGCAAGAAGAGATTGTATTTAAACTTCATTGCCCTTGACCTCAGGTCCTTTTGAGTCTGTTGTGTTCCAGCCTCTCTGGCAACACCATCACTGGTGACATCTAACAACAAACAGCCCCAACAGCAGGTCCCAGCTAATTCAAATTGAGATCACAGATTCAGCCATGAAAGAGTCTGAAAAAGAAATCCCTAAAATTTCTATAACCTCTGGGCTTCTCTTTTACCAGAAAGGATGTTCTACACAAAGTAATAGGAAAATGTAATATTGTTTGCCAGTTTAATTGGATGTGCCCCTGTTATGAAAGAGATTGGCTCTTGCTGACTGTGTATAAAACACAGGATGAGAGCAGATTCTGGTTGTTCAAAGTGACAAAAAAACCAGCAGTGATTTAAGGTGATGTGACAGCAATGGGGACATTTTCTTGGCCTCCATTCCAAGTGCAGGAGGGGGCTTTGAACTGGTTCTTTGGGGTGGACATCACTTGGTGGAGGACAACCCCATCTTGCCCAAACCTCCACCTGTTTAAAATGAGATCCAAGGCAGCCCCAACAGCACAATTCCTGATTTTTGAGCTTAGTGGTGGTGGTGCCCTGCATCCCACTTGCCCTGGCAAGCCACCATGGAATCCACTGTGGAAGCAACATGGATTTCAGGGATACGATAGAGAGCAGGATAAGAGGCCGGGGGGGGACTGTTCTCACTCGTCCCTCACAGACCTGACCACTATTTTATTATGAAACCAAGAGCTGGAAGGGCAGAGAAGGGAACTTGGGCAGAGATAACAAAGCAGCAGGAGGTTCATCTGTGGACAAGAAAAGAACAAGGAGGTTCATTTGTGGACAAGAAAAGCCTTGTTCCAGCATTCCCACAAAGCTCTTGTAGGCTATGACTCCCCGGCTGGAGTGGTTTGAGTAGCTGCTGTCTGCCTTGCTTTCTCTGCCTTTACTTACAGAAAGCCACGAGAAATATTTCATCCTCTTTGTTGAGACAGTTTCCTTGCACTTCGAGAGGCAGGACAAGTGCTCTCACTCCAGGACTTGCTGATGGCCGTGAGAGGCAGATGGGGACCAGGACTGGGCTTGTTACAGCTTCAGAAATTCAGTGCCAGAGTGCCCTTGCTCAGGGTGAGAACAAGGAGAGCTCCGTGCTGCCTGCCCTCAGCTCCCCTCCCGAGCCGCCACGGGAACAAGACAAGGTTTCCTGCCATGGGAAGGTGGTCCCCAGTTAATTCCCAGGATCACAGAATCACAGACTGTCCTGAGTTGGAAGGGAACCACCAAGATCATCCAGAGCACCCCAACAATCCCACCCTGTGCATCCCTGAGAGCATTGTCCAAAATACTCCTGGAGCTCTGGCAGCCTTGGGGCTGTGCCCATTCTTTGGGGAGCTGTTCCAGTACTCAACCACCCTCTGGAGAAAGAATCTTTCCCTGATATCCACCCTAAACCTTCCCTGACACAGCTCCAGCTGTTCCTGGACCCTGTCCCTGGTCACAGGAGCAGAAACTGGAGCTGTCCCTCAGGAGAAGCTGCAGCCCTCACTGAGGTCTGACCTCAGTCCCCTCTTCTCCAGGCTGAACAAACCAAATGACCCCAGCTGCTCCTCATAAGGCTTCCCCTCAAGGTCCTTCACCATCTCTGTAGCCTATTTTGGATGCTCTCTGACAGCTTTAGATCATTCTTATTTTGCAGTGCCCAAAACTGCTCATGGTATTCAAGGTGAGGCCGCCCCAGAGCAGGGTGGGACCATCCCCTCCCTCTCCCTGCTGGTGGGAGATGCTGGGCCTGATGTCCCCAGGATGGGGATGTCCCTCCTGGCTGCCAGGGCACTGCTGCCCCAGATCCACCCTGCCATGAATCATGGAATGGTTTGGGTGGGAAGGGACCTTAAATCCTGTTCCAATTCTCTGCCCTGGGCAGAGACACCTTCCACTAGACCAGGTTGTTCCCAGCCCTGTCCAACCTGGCCTTGGACACTTTAAGAGATTGATAAATTACAGGAATAAATAAACCAGTTCCAGATTCTCTTTCCTTGGCCATCAGGTCTTGTCTTTGGGGTGGGGGAGCTGTCACCATGGGGTGCATGTGCAGCCTTCCCTTGGTGCCCCCAAATTGCTGCTGGTTCAGAGACACCTTGGAGCAGATTTTGGCACTGGGCAACAACATTCCTGAATTTTGAAGGGGTGAATCCCACCTCACCATGAGCAGGAAGACCCGGGTGTTGTGTAAGCCTTGTTCTTTCACTCTATCAAAGAGCTGAAGCACATTTTGCTATTTTTAAATAAATTAAGCCCTGAGGAACTATCTAAGAAGGGTTTTCTGTACTCTCTGGTGGGATGCTGTCAGCAGCAAGCCTTGCCCATGTCAAATCTGGTGTCAAATCCAGTGCAGTAGAATCCTTTTTGTTTCTTCATCCACAAAATGCCTTCTCTAACTTCCAAAAGGAGAAAATCCCTGCACTTTGGTGCATCTCTGCAGTCAGCCATCACAAGATGGAAGATGTTTCCTTGGCTATAATTATTTCCTTGGCCATGGTAAACTGGTGCTCTACTTACCTCTCTGTAAGTACTGGCCTGTCTCCTGAATTTTGGAAAAGGTGACATTGTTTTTTCTGCTAATCCCAACAAATGGAGGTCACAGCTGAAGGGCTCAGCCAGGGATACTGCATAAATGGACAATGGTTTATCCCTTTTGGGAAAAGACATTTTCTCCACAGAGAATCTGGAATTTGCAGTTTAGGTGATGACAGGAAGAATGCACCTCTGGGATTTGGGCTGTAATGGGAAAAGTCTTAACAAATAAAAGCAGATTCTAATTGTGCCTGAAAAACCACCTATAAACATGTAATTCAGCTGAAGAAAATGCTGAGAACAGGAATGGGGACAGAACTGACTGCATCTTCAGCACATGGAAATGGGAGAACTTCTGGAAATGGATAAGATTGGGCAATCTGAGTGAGTCCATTTTCAGAAACCAAACCCATTAACCTCTGTCTTGGCACAGGGAGGGATTGTTGGGGTGTCTGTGCAGGGCCAGGAGCTGAGAATCAATGATTCCCATGGGTCCCTTCCTGCTCAGGATATTCCATGATTCTGTGATTCTCCAATAATTACTATGAATTCCTGTGTTCCATTAATGAACTGGGTATGATGAGCTTAGGAGAAGACCAGATGAGGCTCAGACCACAGTGGAGGGCTCAGACTGTGAACACCAAGCTCAGTTCTTGGTGGACTCCCTGGGCCACCCTCATCCAGGTGCTTCTCCTCACACCTTAATTCTGCATATGCAAAATAGAACTAATTCCCTGTAATTTGCTCAGCGTGTGAGCCTTAATTAACATTTTTAGGAGAAACCCCGGGCAGACCTGGGCTGAGGAAGTGGTTGTTGCCGTATCAGAGCAGGCATCATTCCAGGCCTGGGCCAGCAGCAGGAGCTGGCTGGGATCCAGCCTCCCTCTGCTCCGCGCGCTCCGGGTTTGTTAACATCCCAATCAATACCACCACGACACAAAATCCAGCTTCAACTTTCCAGCTGCAGCGCGGGCCGTAGGGCTTTTTTTTATTTTCTTTCCCAGCTAACACCCTAAATCCTATTTTTCCAGCTCCTTTGAGCCCCGCTGGGAGATATTAAGGTGTTATTATCGCTCCCCGTTGCTGCGGGGGAACGGGGGGAATGCTAACGAGGGAGACTCGTCCTGTCCTCTCCATCAGTTCACCTCTCCCACCGCTGCGAGCTTTTAAAAATAACAAATTGCGGGTTATCCTTCCTTTCTTTGGGAGGGTGACCTTTAGGGTTTGCAACGCACTTCGCCGAGGGATAAAAAAAGAAATTTATTTTCCAGGAGAAAAAGGAGAGGATAGCTGCGATTCTCAGAGGCATTAGGAATTGGACCTTGAGGGGGGTAAAAAAGAGTATTTTGAGGAGCCTGATAAATTGAAGAGCTGCTGGAATGTGGATTCGTCAGGAGCAGGTCGGTTCTGGCTGGCGTGGGAACCAGAGGGATGAGGGATGGGGTCTAAGCAAATATGAGCCTATTAATAATCAATAGCTGCTCACAGGGCAGAGATGATTCAGGCCAGGTTGGTGTCTAATTGCCATTATTGTTATTCTGGTTTAAACCCCGTTCCTCTCCGCTACTGCCACCAGTGATCTGAGGCGCTGTATTTTTAATTTGTTCCCAGGCACGGCACAATCCATCACATGCCTGAATCCAAATGCCAGAGCCGGAGCAGCAGCAGAGAAACATTTTTGTTATTTAAGTTACTGTATGCTAAGTTTATGTTGATTGCTCTGAGTATCATCTCCCAAAGTTAACTAGCGTTAAAGTGTTGATAATGTCCCACTTTCGCAATCAGATTTGCATAGCGCACAACGGAGTTTAGCAGGAGAAAAAAATTAGCTTAAGTGCTGTTTTTCATCAGCCCTGTCAGTCTCACACTGTTTGCTTCATCTGGGTGCACGGGGCGTTTGGTGACAAATGGTTATGACATTTTCCATCTCAGCATTACGTCATTACAGAATCTCTGCCGTCCTCTGGCTCGAGGCTGTGTCCTGGCCTGGCAGAGAGGGAGAGGGGAGAAAGGCAAGAATTGTCTTTGGGATTTTTGAAGTATTTTATTATTTATGATTTTTATTCTCTCTGGAAAAAATAAAAATAAAATTCAACCTCTCTCCCTTCCCCCCCAACCCCCCAACCCCCCCCTCTTTAGGCAGCATCCAGGAATATTCCCATGGGCAAAAGGAAAAGCATCCTATTCCCGTTGAAGCCAGCGGCAAATCCCTGGATGTGCAGGACCCGGATACAAACAGGGGTGACCTCTCTTTGTTCGGGGTGCAGATCCAGGACCACTCTTCCCAGAGGCCTTCCCTCCCTCCCAGCATCCTGGCTGACATCCCCCCCACCTTCCCGTTCAGCCCCGGATAAACGATGGAGAATCAGGCTGGAGATCTTCCTGCAACACTATTTGATAAAATATAATTCAAACATTTCCTCTGTGTTAACAGCTCTGAAATAAAACCCCCAGAACACAGGAATATGTGATATCCATAACAATTTTGGTTTGGTCTTGTGTTAAACTTCCCCCCCACCCCCATCCCTTACTTTTTGTCTTGGTTTAGTGGCTGAATTTAGGAGCAATTTATTAAATTTATTCCTACCGTGAATTAGGCAGAAGTTTTCACCAGCATTTTGGAGAGTGTGAGGTGTCAATTCCTCGTTTTGGGGCTCTGGTTGCTGTTTCACCCCCTTGCTTTAGGGGTAAATACAGTGCTGTTAAAGCCCAGTATTATCCTGGGATGTGTTTTTAGCCTGAGCCCCCCCTCCATACATTAAGTAATTCATCCTTATTGCCATTAGGAATTCAGATGTTATTTTATGGAGGGGGAAGGGAGGATGGATGTGCAGAGCAGAGCATAGCTTATATTTTACAGATATTCCTTTTTGCTGTGCAAGTTGCTGATTTACTCTTGGAAACCTGCTGGAGGAAGGTTTGAAGGACGCTTTATGGGAGAAAAATAGGGATTTTTGATGTAATTCAAGCTTCTCCCTGCTCCCGTGCAGCTCTCGCTGGCTGGGTGTGCAGAGCCAAATAGGGAACGGCCTCCTTTGCATTAATAATAGTCCAATAAAACCAGACAATATTCCTGCTTAAACGCACTGAGTTATGTAGATCCTAATTCTAGCACATCAGCAAGGAAAGAAAAGCAGATATTTCGTCCTCGCCACAACAAATTCCGTGATACAAATGCGAGCCGACATATGGTAAAAATTGCCTGCAGCCCTGCTGATTTACAGAACTGTTTTCACTCACAGATAATTCATTAAAAATCATTTCATACTGACTGTATATACATAAAAAATATTTACTTGTGTAAATATCAGTCAGGAAGGTATTGCTTTTTTTTTACCCTTTCTTTTTTTTTTTTTTTTACCCTTTCCCTTCTTTTTTTATTTTTTGACAGCTGATGGGGAGGGGAAAAAAAAAATCCAGAGATGTATGATGGACACAGGGGAAAGCAAAGGTATTCCTGGCATCCATTCCTTCATCCTGGATATAGGTCAGGCCTGGGGGTGGGCTGGGACTGCTTTAAATCCGCTACCTGAGCCATCTGCTCTTCCACGCCAGTGGAATCTGCGTTGGGGAAACACACACTAGGCAGACGTGGATATTGTGGGATACGGCACAAAAGGGACTTTACCTGATTCGGGGCTCTCTGCTGACCTGAGGAACAATAGGGGTATGCACACCCTGGGAAATGTCGCCGGAAAAACGGGAGCAACGGGATTTCAAAGCCGCTGCTGCTGTGGCAGAGCAGCCTGGAAAATAGAGAGCAAAATCCCAGCAAGGCGAGGGGAGTTTTGGGGGTTTCATCAGTTTTTCAAATTGTCCTAAAATGATGGAGGCACCAAACATGAGGGGGACAAATGGCACAATGGGGTTTGTGGGTCCTAAAGATGAACATTCCAGGTATAACCAAGACAAGCCCTGAAATCTCCCTCCCAGCCCCACGTTTTTCCCTCTAAAACATGTTCCACTACTTGTTCCACTACTGAAAATGCTGAACAAGGCTTCAACCCAACACTGCACCTTCCCTCTTTTCCCTGTGCTTGCTCCACTAGATTTGCCTAAATACGATGAATGTTTTAAAACCTGAAGCTTGGAGACCTTTCGATGATTTTTTTCCCCCCCTCAAGGAAAATTCAGAAATAAATCATAGACTACAAGAGATTTGGGGTGGTTTGTTTGCAGGTTTTTTTTTTTTAATCTCTACAGCCAGTAGGTGAAACAGCATTATTTAAAGTATGAAAGGGAATTAAATACTTGGAAGAGGGATCTGGTCCATCAGCTTTCATCCTCCATAAAACCCAGTAGTAAACAAAGCAATAATATTTGGGGGCTTGGAGAGGGCAGCTCTGAGGAGAGCTGGGATGTTGATTAAGATGGAATGGCTACGTGGGGAAAGGGGGGGATGCTGGAATCGCATCCCACGGCTGCGCCCAGCACGGTGGCGAGGGGAGAAAGTTTGGGCCCATTTCCTCTGGAATTTGGTGCCATGTCTCACTCCATGGAGCTGCTACATCAATGGGAAGTTTTCCTATCAAGCTGAACCCAAAAGGGGAGGGTAAAATCAACTTTCACTTCCCCATCAGAGCGTCTACAGCACGAAAGCCTCTCCCGCTCTATTTATACGCTGGATAAATCAGTCTCCAGACTGTTACCATAGATAACTGAGTTTTTCTCCTGCTGTTGTCTCTAACAGCTTCTTTTTCCCCCCACTATATTTTGCACGGTTCCTACCTATCACCTCGGTGAGTAATTCCCCTGCTTTAAATCAAATTACTTGGGGGAGAGAGAGGTTTTTCAGGCAGAGGGATGTTTTTCAGACAGAGGGATATTTTTCATACCCCTCTCGCCGAATTTTGCTCCCGGTTCTCTGAGTAACCCTGAGAAATTCTGCAGAAAGGGGAGCTATAGGTGACTGCATCTGATCCTGATACATATTTAACCTTCTCACGGTCTCCAGGAATTAACTATTTAGGAGGTGAACAGCCAGCGCAGGCGTTGCACCAGGATAACACGGCCAGGCTGGTTCACAGCGATGCCGAAGCTTCCCACAAAAATCCCTAATTCTCACCACGGAGCTTCTGCAGGAGACATTGCCACGGGCTGGGATCTTTATTTCAAATAAATAACTCCGTCAATGCGGCAGGTCCCTATTTAGGGGACCAGTGGATGCGGAATTTCCCCTCCCAGGGATGGGGTGTTAATGGGATTTGTTGCTCCTGGCTGGGGAGCGAGGGGGGTTAATCCCTTTCTCCATGTATATCCCTGCTAAGCTGGTTTAGGTCATGCTTAGAGCTAAGTTTTGTGGTGCAGGCTCTGTCCACCCGTCCATCCCGCAGTGCCAGGCACGAGGAGGAATCCAGGTGCCATCTTTGCTCCCCTCGCACCTCCCAGTGCTTAACAATTCAAGTGAGCCCAGAAAGAAATTAAAGGAAAGGCTTAAATTCCACCAAAGTGGTGAAAAAGCCTCCAAAGGCTTTTAGCAACCCTGCATCATTGCTCGGGGAAAGCTCCCAGCGAGGCCCAGAGCCCTTTGTTTGCTGCAAGGGGATTTATCCTGGAGTGGGTAGGGAAGGAAAGGGACTTTTTCCCTCCACCTGCAGGGACCCATCCACCCGGCATCACCTCTGCCATCATCCCCAGCAGACATGAAGCTGCTTGTGGGGAGGTGGCTTTGGGGTTTTGGCATCCTTTTCTAAAGCCTTCGAGGAGGCTGCAAAGCGTTAAATAGCCTCACCTGACCTCCTCCAGCAAAGCCAGGCTCTGCATCTTTATTTAGGGACGTACATCACCTCCACAGCTTTCCCTCTGGCGCTGGGGGTGGAGCAGAGAAGTGAAATGTCGTGAGAGGGGGGAAAAAAAAAAAAGAAAAAAGAAAAATGAAGTAGCTCTAAATCCATCTGAATTTGCCTTGAAACCCCTTTCCCAGCCCAGCCTGGCCAAGCACATCCCGGCGATCCCGGCCGAGGGCCGGACACATATGCCGTGCCATATGGAGCGGCGCGATCCCAGTCAATCGGATCTTTGGGAGTTTTATCGTTTAATTTCTTAATGTGCTAATAGTGCACAGGGAGGGGATGGATCACCGGTTAAGTCCAGGGATTTATGTTTTTAAGGGAGGGTAATGTATTTCTGAGCGGGCTTTAAATATCCTCAGCCAACGTGACGGACGGCAGGCAGGAGGGTGAGATGGAAAAGGTCCTGGGAGAGCCCTTTGAGCTTTAATCCAGCACAGGTTTATAAGGTAGCATCCAGCTCTGTGTGAGCTGAAATTCAGGCAGAAAATCCCCGTGTCCATTTGACAAAGCCATTTTGCCCAGCCCTGAGGGCTGCAAGCCCTGTTCTGGGTCTGTGTCCCCCTGGTGCTCCCATAATTTCCATCCATGGGTCCATTCCATTTGAAGCCATGAAGGATGGGTGGCAAAACCTCCCCAAGGCCCCCGATGCTGTTTCCCCTCTTAGAGAGAGAATTGCATTTCCTTCCTTCAAATTGTCATTGGGATCAGGGCTTATGAAGACTCTCAAGGTGCTTTCGGCTCCACAAAAGGAAAGGTCTTACAGAGAGATAAAAAAATAAATGTTCATTTAAAAAATGCAGAAGTAATTTCAGGGGAGTATTGAAATTGCAACCGTTCACCTCCAACCTGCAACGAAACTCATCTATTTATTTTTAAATAAATCATCTCAGCTCTCCATAAATCTCCAGGGCAGGCAACCAAGGAGGGGACGAATTAAGCAGCACCGTGACCCCATCCCGGTCCCTGCTGGGCAGCTGCCTGCGGGGCAGGGACGGATGCTCGCGTGGCCCCGTGGCTCCAGCTGCGGTTGGAAGCATGGCAGTCTCAGAGGGATGCTCTGGCTGTTGGCTTCTGTCAGCCAGACCTTAAAATCTGTGCAGTTCGAGGCCTTATTTGAATTGCAAACGGCTCAGGGGAGGTGTACTGTGGAGTTGCTCTCCCAGGGTAAATAGGGTTTGGGGTTGTTTTTTTCTTTAAGCTAATAATATTGTGTCATGCTTTGAGGGGGGTGATAGTATAAAGGGCAGGCGGAAAGATTTCTGTGGCTGAGCTGATGCCTCTGCTGAACCATTTTTGACAGCTAATTTCTAACATTTGCTTGAAAACTCTTCTGATCTGATGCGTTAAGTGAAATGTCATTAAGGCAATGGGAACACAAACGGTAGGACTGTGAGACAGCACTAAGGGGAAAGGGCAGAGGCTCCCAGAGGCTTCCAGCCACACGTTTTGGACCCCCAATGTGCCCAAAGTTCTTGTGCTTACTCAGAGCTGGACGCTCCTGCCCCTCTCTGAGCACACTCAGGGTACCAACCACCAACCCGCGCTTCCATACGGGTTTTTCTCAGCAACTTCTAGGCCTCGACTGGGGAGGGCAAAAGAGAAAAGAAGGGATGTGTTTGTGTTCGTGCAATGGGAAGGGACAGAGGGAAGAGACGTGCGCTGCGACTCAGTGCGGCGCTGGAATGATCTCAGGAGCTGCGGCTTGTGCAGAGAGATCCCAGGAGCGGGCACATGCCCTTGACTCCGAACAACCCGGCGAGTAATAAAGGATTTCCTGCCTTCAGAGCCTGCTTGAGCCGGGGTTTTAGCCCGGGTTAGGATGTGCAGCGCCCTGACAAGGTTACAGGGTCTAACAGGGTGATGCTGGGAATGTGTAGATATCCCTGGGTATAGACATGTAGAGAACCACGGCGTGCGCTCCTCACCACAAACAAAAAGCGCACTCTTCTCCTTGAAATTCACCTTGAATGTGGCGAGATGGGGTGGGTTCCTTGATTGATTTGGGGATTATTATTATTATTATTATTATTATTATTATTATTATTATTATTATTATTATTATTATCGCCCCCCCTTCCTTTTCCCTGACAACTGTCAGCAGAGAGGCTGCAAAAAAAGCTGAGGAGCCACTGCAGGCTGCGCAGCGCTGGGAGCTGTCAGCCCCACGCCACTGCAGTGATGTCAGCTGCAGCCACAGCCACTGCCACCCCCAGCCCCTGCACACACGCGAGTCGCAAGAAGAAGAATTCATAATTACAGTAGCGTAGCCATGAAACCAGCAGTGCTGGGGGTGAAGGAGGGGGGGGAGAGAAAGCGAAGCCTCGGCCAAAATTGGTACTTTTTTTTTTTTTTTTAATACCTTTTTTTTTTTTCTCTCTCCCCCTGCAAAGCTGCACCCAGCTCTGCAGCATCCTTTCTCCGCAGCGGGGTTTGGGGGGGCCAGGGCAGGGGGTTCCCCCCCGCAGCCCCCCCAAAGCGGGTGGAGGGTGCGGGGGGCTGCGGGGGGAGCTGGGCAGGGCTGGAGGCTCTTTCCCCGCGGGTCGCTCCTTGTTTTAAAAGGCAGCATTTCTGCGGACAACACCCGGAGCATCTCTGCGGAAGCGGGGCTGGGGGCGAGGGCTGCAGCCGCCTTGTTTGCGGCGCACGGAGTCAGCAGCTGGGATTTTTTTTTTTTTTTTTTTTTTTTGGCTGAATAATCCTTTACGGGGAGGGGGTGTGCGGGAAAAAAAAAAAAAAAAGGGGGGGGGGGGCTGGGGGAGGAGGGAGGGAAAGTGAATCAACATCACCGAAGGAGGACAGCGAGCAAGATTAGGGCTGGCTAATGATAAATGAGAAGGCGCCGCTGACAGCTCCGCGCACCGCGCAGCGCCCGCCCGGCTGCTCCGCGCTCCCTCCGCACTCTCCGGCCGCCCGCTCCGCTCCCACCGCCGGCCTGGCTCCAGCCCCCCCCTTCCCTTTTCTTTTCTATATATATATTTTTTTATATATATATATAATTTTCAGCCCCCTCCGCATAGCGCGGGGGGGGGCACATCCCACCCCCTGCCTCCCCGAGCATCCTCCGCGGGATTACGCGCCTGGCCGCGCTCCGCACCGGCTGCAGGACGGAGGGACCACGGCGGGGCTGCCGCAGGGGGTATTTCCTTCGCTCCTCTTCTTGGGGGGGCGGGTTTGGGTTGGGGTCGGGCCGGGAGAGGGGGGTTGGATAGACAGGACACCCCTCAGCACCCCACGGGGGAGGGGGTATGCAGTGGGGGCTGCGCTCCCACCCGCCCCCCCCGCGCCCTTTCTTCCCCCCCTGGAGGGCTGGGGCGGGGGGGGATGAAGGATGAAGCCAGGGCGGTTTATCCGTGGGCTCTGCCCGCCCCCATCTCATCGTACCCGGGTGACCTTTCAAATCAAAGCCCGGCTCGTACCTACCAAGGTGCATTGGGCAGCGAGGGCTGGGGGGTGCTGGGGACGGGGGGGTGATGCACCCGGGCTCTCCCCCTCCCTCTGCCTTTCCCCCTCCCTCCCTCCTCCCTCCTCCCTCCCTCGCTGCTCCCTCCCTCTCTCTCTCTCTCTGCTGCATTTTGCATGAGCTATCTAGGTCATTAGCATTTTAGCGTATGCAAGACTTGACAAAGCTGATGAGAAGCCAGATGGGCCCCTCTCCTCTTTTTTTTGCACCACTTGGGATCTGAGCGAAAGGATTGACTGCAGCAGGCGAACGGGGGAAGGTTTATTGCGCTCCTCCAGACCCCCCCGCTTATAGCAGCGCGGCGGGGCTCGGGGCAGGCGGCAGAGAGCGGGCAGCATCGGGCAGAGACGGAGGGCAGGTAACGGGGCCCCCCCGCCGCCCCCCACCCCACAGCCCGGGGCTTCTTTGATTTGATAGAGGGTTTTTGGGGTTTTTTTCCGACGGGGGGGTTGGGGGGGTGTTAGGTTGGGTTTTGTCCCCCCCTCCCCCCCGCCCATGGGGAAGGGCGCGCCGAGCCTCCGCGGGGCGCGGAGAACAAAGGCTGGGCTCCGCGGGGTCCCTCTCCCCCCTCCCTTCCTTCCCCCCTCCCTTTTTCTTCTTTTCTTTTCCCATTTCCCCTTCTCCTTCTCTATATTTTCTTCCTCCCGAGGAAAGGCCCCTCTCTCCGTGTTCACAGCGGACCTTGATTTAAATGTCCATACAATTAAGGCACGCGGTGAATGCCAAGAACGAGGCTGACCAGCATCGAGGCCGGAGGCTGCTCCGCGGCTCTCCGCACCCGCGGAACCCCCCGGCACCCCCTGACATCCCCCCCCACATCCCACATCCCCCGAGCTCGGCCGCGGGGCAGCGCTGCGCACCGGCGCAGGTGGCACCGCAGCGCGGGGAGGGGGCGGAGAGGGATGGATGCGCTGGGATGCGATGGGATGCGCTGCGATGGGATGGGGGCGCACGGCAGCCTTTGGGGGGCTCTCCGGGATGAAGGAGAGGGGGTCCTTGAGAGCACAGGAGCCCGGGGTGTGAAATCCGGAGCTGTCACTCGGGGGTGACCCGCGGGTGGGCCCCGGGGGGACGCGGCTGCTGCTCCCGGGGCTGCTCCGCTGCCGCCGCTTTGTGCTTTGCCTTTTCTCTCGCCTTTTCTCCACAGAGTGATGGGGTTTTTACCTGCTAAAAAGCAAGGGCAGGTCTTGGGGTCACCGGGGCTCACGCTGCTCCCCCGGCGGAGGGGGGTGGGATGCTGGGGCAAAGCCGCTTTTTTTCTTTATTTTTTTTAAAGCTTTATTATATTTTTTTTTTTTCCGGTGGCTGTTTGTGTGTTTTTCCCCTCCGCCCTCCCTCTCCTTTTAATCCTTATAATTTAAATCAAAAGTGCCGGGTAGAAGAAGGGGGGAGCGCTGTGTCTGCAGGGCGAGGCCGGCGTAAATCTCTCGGAGGGATAAACATGTCATTTGTTCCCTTTGTATGGTAATGCTGTCCCCCCCCCCCCGCTGCCCCCCCACCCCCCAGCAGCTGTCCCAGCCATACATCCTCCCTACAAAAGATCCCAATTACCCATCGGCTGCCTCATTATACTCCTTACACAGCCCCGGCGAGAGGCGTGTGTGTGCGAGGAACCGAGGGGAGGGGGGGGGAGGATGAAGCGGGGAGAAACAGCACCTGAATTATTCAGAAAATAAAATAAAATTCAAAAATCTGGAGGCGACGGGTGGGAGGGATGCTGCGACCCCGCAGGGATGCTGCGACCCCGCGGCCTAACACGGAGCAGGTGCCCCCCAGAGCCTCCTGCAGCACAGGGGCTGCTCCCCCACCCCCAACACACCACTGGTTTATTTTTCCCCTCCTTTTCCACGCTTTTATTTTTATTTCGGGTTTTTTTTTCCCCTCCACCCTTGTAGTCATCACCACCGCTCTGCCCTGCTCCCTGCTGGGGCCCTTCACCTCTTTACCCTTCTCCCATCCCTCTCCTCCCCTCCCTTCTCTTTGCAGCTGGAGGCCACCCCACATCCCTTCATCCCGGCCCATCCCAGTGCTCCCAGCAGGCTCCTGTCACTGGGGAAGGACAGGCCTTACTGCAGGGGACAGTCCCCCACCCCTCAGGGCATCTGCAGAGCTGTCCCAAATTTGGGGGGCCCTTGGTGACAGCGCGGGGGGTCCCATCTCTCTTTGCAGCTCCGTGCACAGAGCCTCACCTCTGGAATGGTGCCCTTGGGAACGCTGACAGCAGCTCGGGGTCCTTGGGACGCCTCTTTGCACCCGCCGAGGGTTCTGCAGGTATTTCGGGACATCCCTCCCTGGGCTCGCATCCCGGCCGGTGCGGATGCCGCAAGGAGCCCGTTGGGTCATGCCAATAAAGCTCTTTCCTTGCGGGTTCCTGCATCCTCTTCTTTGTTCCTGGAGGTTTCTCGCCCGTCTCTTTACGGCGGCGGAGGCAGGACCCCCCTGAAGGACCCACACTCAGCACCAGGTGGGGGATGAATGCTAAAATCTGCCCCAAAATAAAAACCTCAGCCTTGCAATTCGGCAGCCCAGGGTCGCCGGCTCAACCCTGAGTGGGCACTACTGCATCCTGGACCTCCAGGAGAGTCTGAACTGCCAGAGGGCTCCTGTGTAGTGAATAAAAGGGGGGAAAAAGAAAGAGATTTGGGGCGCCTTCTCTTTGGGATTGTCTCCATCCCAGCAGGCAGATCCCTGCCATGCTGCACTCTGTGCAGAGCATCCCTCTGCGGCACTGCCAGCCCCACAGAACCCAGCCCTCACAAACAGGATGGATTTTCTTTTAAAGCTGCAGCACGGGAGAGGAAAACAAGACATAAATAACCCCAAATAAATACACAACCTGTTTTCTGTCTTGCGAAATGGCCGGGATGAAGAGACGCCATCACTGTGCATCCTAAGGCCTGGTACCCCCCGGCGGGGCCCAGCTGCCTCCCTCGGGCTCAGCCCAGAGGGATGGAGAGGAGGGGGCAGGAGGCTCTTATTAATACTAATCCCAAGAAATATTGCTCTGCCCTGAATAAATCAGGCCGGGGGTTCCTCCAAGACCTTTGCCCCCTTGAGATGAGCTGCAGTGCGGCCCCTCCTCTTCGGGGTGGACACTTTGGGAAGGGAATTGGAGCGGGGGGGGGGCTGGGGGGTGGACAGATGCGTTTGATTTTTTCGCTGAGGGATGGAGAAGGAGGTGGCACGGTTTTATTCCAAGCACGTCAGCTCCCCCCTCCCTCCCTGTCCCCTCCTTCCTCCCTCCACCCGCAGTCCGATGTAAACATAACGGCAGGGACCTGCCAGGCTCCATCCCCACTTGGATTATGGGGGGAATTAAGCAGCTTTGATTAACACAGCAATGCCCCCAAATAACCTTCAGGCGTCTGGCCCACAAGGTTGTGCGCTAGAAGGGGCCAGGGGCAGGGACCCCAGGGCACCCATCCCATGGGCAGAGGGAAGAGGTGGATGGAGAGGATTCGTGGGGAGCAAAGATCCTTCCATCTGCAATTTTTATGCCGGTTTTATTTCTCCCTGCCCACGCCCACCCCTGACCGATTCGCTCGCCACTGCAGTGCTGGTTGGGCTGGAGATGTTCCGGCTCCAGCGGGGAGGTGGAATGGAAGATGTGGGAAATTCCTCTATTTCCCTCATTTCCCAGATCTCTGTCGAGTGCCAGCCCTGCTCTTCACCAAGCCCCAAGCAGGATGATGATCTCCGTGTAGAAAGGTCTTTTGCTTCATATCCCTGCAGCATCCAGCTCCTTTTTTCTGGTTTTTTTTTATGCCGTGTACCTCCATGAACCAAAAGCCAACACATCTCCTAGCAGCAGCAGTCAAAGTGGGCATTTTATTGGGAAATCTAATCAGGTTTCGAGGGGAAAATCCTTTCTTCATGTCTCAGCTAAGCAACAAGCTCGATTAAATTGGTTAGACTATAAAGAGGGCCGAGAGTCCCATCTCCTTTTTCCTCCTTGCTCTTCCTGGACAGCGCTGTCATCTCCGCACTCCACTCCACTGTCTCTAGAGCCCAAACGAGCCTCAATGACACAGGACTCACATGTCATTCCCTGACATCCCCCCCGCCCCGCCTCCCCCCAGCAACAGAGTCACAAATCATCTCAAACACTCTAAATTTAGCCCGGCAGAGCAACCACGAGCAGGGATTTCAGTGACATCACTACTGGAAATTAACGGGTCAAACAGGGAGGCTGAATGTGGCACCCCGAGGAGCGGGGACGACGCTTCACTGATCCTTCCACACAACGAGGCCACCCTGTCTTTAGACATCTCAAAGCATCCCCTCAAAATATATTTCTCCCAAATGCCCAGAGTGGACCAGCCATTAGGTTAATTCCCATCAGGAGCTGTGCTGAAAGGCCTCGATGGATCAGCGCTGCGGAGATGCGCAGTGTGACCGCGAGAACCCGAAGGAGCAAAGCCAGTGAGCTTTGCCCGGTGCAGAGGCTGGGAGAAAAGGGACCCACATCTCACCCCGGAGCTGGAAGGTGGGTCCAGCACTCCCTGCATGGCTGGGAATGCCAGGCCAATGTTCCCATGGCAGTTGTGTGTGCTCACGGTCCCTGTTGGTGCTGTGGTTAGGGGTGGGGGTGCTGCTGTGGTATCCCGGTGCCTGGTGTGATTTCTGTCTGCTTTGCTCTGCAGAAGCAAAGAAATCACTGCACATGGGGAAAAGGGAGCCCCCGAAGTGGGAATGGGGCTGATCTGATGCACAAGGTCCCATACTCCAGAGGATGAAGAAAGAACAGAGATTCCCATGGCTGCACTGCAGTTGGAGGGGCAGATCCAGAGCTCCTCAACAAGATTGGATGGATTCATAAACTCACACAATCACAGGATGGCTTGGGCTGGAAAAGACCTGGAAGAGCATTTCATTCCAACCCCCTGCCATGGGCAGGGACACCTTCCATTATCCCAGGTTGCTCCAAGCCCCATCCAGCCTGACCTTGGACACTTCCAGGGATCCAGAGGCAGCCATAGCTTCTCTGGGCACCCTGTGCCAGGGCCTCCACACCTTCACAGGGAACAATTCCTTCCCAATATCCCATGTAACCCTGCCCTCAGTGCATGGAAGCCATTCCCTGTGTCCTGTCCCTCTATCCCTTGTCCCAAGTCCCTCTCCAGCTGTCATGTAGCACTTCTAGGCACAAGAATATTGCTGCCATCAGTCCAACCCTGACACCTTCCACCATGCCAGGCTGATCCAAGCCACTTCCAGGCATCCAGGGGCAGCCACATCTTCTCTGGGCAACCTGTGTCAGGGCCTCACCACCCTCACAGGGAGGAATTCCCTCCCAATATCCTATCCATCCCTGCCTGCTGGCAGTGGGAAACCATTCCCTGTGTCCTGTCCCTCCATTCCTTGTCCCAAGTCTCCACTTGGAGCCCTTTAGCCACTGGAAGGGATTCTAAGGCCTTTCCAGTGCCTTCATTTCTCCAGAATTAACAATAAATTACTGTTTGGGAGGCCATAACCAGAGAAGCTGAGACAATACTTTTAGGGACCTGTTATAGCACCTACATCCTTTAGTGGCCAGCAACCCTTCACTTCTGCTGTGTTTTTTTGGCAGCAGAAAAAGGCTGGGAAATGCTGCCTCTGCCTTTTGAATTTCATGTTCCCCTTGTCTCACTAGTGAGCACTGAAAATTAAAACAACAAGCCAAGGGCTCCTGCAGCATCAATTCCTCCTACAGGAACAAAATATAACGTGGTGGGGAGGAGGGAAGAGGTCAGGGATTAAAATCTGATAGAAATCCCTTAGACCACAGCAGCACACGAGGATTTCTCTGCTGTTCATGCACACGGTGCCAATTCTATGAACGTTCACTTATTTTTATGGAGATTTTTGCCTTTTCAGACCAAGTGTTTCAGTGTGGCACCAGCTGTAGGGATGAGCTAATGCAAGGCTCAGTCATTTCCCTGCTCACCCCGGCCTTCCTCCGCAGCCACAGCCGCTCCGAGAAGCTCTCATCCAGGGAGAGACAAAAGTGATGCATGTGCATGTGTAATTTCCAGTGTCAGTGTGTTCAGCGAGGAGTTGGAATCATAGAAGTTATTTCATTTATTACAATCATACATAAAGCCTCTTAGAGCTGCAGACTTGGAATAGGCAATTATGCCCATAGGTTAATAACACGCAGGGATTTGACTGACAACTGGAATTAGATTTAAACACGGCAGAGTGGCAGCTAAAGGCACTTTATTAAAACTGTGGCTGGGGATTTGTTCAAAATACCAGTTGCATACCTTTCCTGGTAAAATATTTATAGGTAGCACCATATTGTGGCCCATTATATTGCATTTTTTTCTCCTTTCCCTCACCACTCTGCAGTAGGGCGAGGAACTTCTCTGGTCAGATTTTCCTGGGGAGAAGGGAAATGCCCGGGGTTGGTTCACATGGAGTGATGTGACGGGATGTGATCTGCAGTGGGAAAGGGCCCTACAGCAGTGATTAACTCCAGACCTAGGAGGGACCTGGATTTACCTCTCCATCCTCTCTCCTTATCAATCCCCAGTGCAGCATCTTCTTAACGCTGCCCTCATTAGCCCAGAGTTAATGATCCCAACAGCCCAGACAAAACCAGGGTCAGTGACTGATACAGCCAATAAAATAAATATTGTTTGATTCTGTTGATACTGTTGAGTTTTCCCTGCTGCCAGGGGAGATCCTCCTTGTAAGATTAGTTTAGCGTGGGATGGATTACCTGCAACCAGGATGGAGTCCCTGCTCCTTGGAGGTTTGAATACCAAGTTAGAGAAATATATGACAGGAATGACAGGAGAAAACACTCGATCCTGCCTTGGGACAACGGGGCTGGGTTAAAGCCCTGTATTTCCCATCATTCTTGGGGGAAAAAAAAACTTTTTTAAAGCAAAAAATTGCTTAAAAACAATAGCTAAGGACCAGCTGGGGCTGGGCCAAATGAGATCCAAAGGTCTTGTTCCACCCTAACATTAGTCCATCAGTCCAGCTAACCTGGAAATGACAATTTAAATCCCAATGACTCTGTGTGGCACTTCCTCCACTGGCAGACAATGGAAAAGAGAGGTGACACCTGAAATGCCCTTAAAAATAACTCCCAATTCCCATCTCTTTCTTTCTTGCCTCATTTGTCTGGTGTGAGAAGTCTCTGTATCACAAGAGCTGCCTTGTGACCTTTCATGGGCCAGGGATGGAGCACTGTATGGGATTCAAGGATTTCACTTTAAAATTAGCAAGGCCAAAATCAGCAGAGAAGAAAGGGCAATGCAGTGTCTGGGGAGGGAAAGCTGACAGTTTTTAACCCACTCAAGGATGGTGCAAGTAGATCTCCAAGCTGGTGACCAAATCCAGCAAGGTACAAGGAGGATTATGAATGGATTTAGCTCC